CATCCTCAGTATCAATACCAACACCTGTAAAGATGTCTGCGAACCCTATTAGGCCGATCAAATATATTGCAGCATTCGGGAACCAAGGCCAATATAGGGAAGTCAACTCTCTTTCATGTGAGTGACGGAGGATTTGGTTCAATTTCAAAGGGAATATTGTCGTGTGTATGCCAAATAAACCGTGAACTGAAAAGCTAGAAAACACTGGACAGCTGTTTCGACTTGGTTGGGTCTGATCAGCAGTGCGAATCCATCGACCCAAATCCTCCGATACCTACATAAAACAAGTAGTCAGGTTGTGAAAGTTCCCAACCGAGTTACAACCCAGGAGGCTAGTGCTGAGATGAGCGAGGCCTGTGGCGTGCAACAAGCTCGNTACACTTAAGCAGGACGATCTAGCTTGTTGGGCGTATTGCTTAGTGAAGTTAACAGTGTCTTTGCTTATTACGTGCGAATTACGAGACATCAGGGTTTGCTCAATGGTGCTCACAATGAGGTTCGTCGTGTATATGGCAAATGAAGCGTGAAATAAAAAGCTAGGAAGCACTGGACAGTTGTTTCGACCTGGTTGGGTCTCATCAGCAGTGCGAATCCATCGACTCAACTGGGGATCGAACCCGGCACCTCATGAACAGAACGCCAGCGTGCTACCCACTCGGTCACCGTGCAGCCGATCAGGCCGTTTTTCACTTTCAATTTGCACGATATAGCACTACCCACCTTTGCGAGCTTTTTGCTGGTATCGCAACTCGCTCATTTCAACACTAGCCTCCGGGGTTATGGCTCAGTTGGAAACAATCACAACTAGGTCGATGGATTCACACTACTGATGAGACCAAACCAGGTCGAAACAGCTGTCCAGTGCTTCCTAGCTTTTTAGTTCACGCTTCACTTGACATATACACGACGAATTTCGTCTTTGGAAGTCGACTCTTCCAACTGTACTTATCTAACACCTATCCGACGAGGCTTATTAACACACTGCATCAGAGGAAAAAATGCAAACAGCGCGCGGACACAAAAGAGGAAATTCGGATAACGATAGCTTACATACGCTGCAAGCAAGAAGTCATCGAACGCACAATCCGATTGTTGGGATCAGCAACAACTGTAAGATTGTCTCTCTTCAAAAGCAAAGATCGAGTCACGCAGTGTGAAAGATCAGGTTCAATCTGCGCAATCCCGTTCCTTGACTGCAACCAACACTACACTAGGCAGGAAAGCAACTACGCACTCGTTTAGACGAACACAAGCTTTCCTTCCAACGTGTTGATCGGACTTCACAAATCTGGAATCATTACTGCGGACGGACAGGTCATGAGATCGCAATTGATAGCGCAAAAGTGGTAGCGTGAGCTAAGAAGTAGGGCGAAAATCAATTATCGAAGCTATACACTCGGTCAATTAGTTCAACCGATGCATTGAGATAAACAGACATTAAGTTGCAGTTACAACAAAAGAAACACCAATAGCATACAGGCACATTGAAATACAATAATCCCATTACCTCATTCATTTGTTTCACGTTTGACAACCAGTCCTAGTTTGCATCGAAACGCTACAACAAACGGTGGCACAGTATACACCTCCAGTCTCTCTTGAAATATGCATATATCGTTTCAGTTACTCGTATCTACAAGGAAGGTTGTAATTGTAATTGTACTGCGTCGGTAAGGTTGACTTATAGTAATTAATTACCAATGCTCTTTATTTTATTATCCCATTTCACTTTCTTTCTGTTCATGTGTATTTCATTCAGATCCCACTCTGCCAGTGATTAAGGAGATGACTTGGTACGATCAGGAATTATATATTACCATGGAAATGGATGGCGGTGAAATGCTAGCAGAATATGAGGCCATTTTTGTTCATGGTAACGCCGTCAAAGATATTCATTCGTGGTATGGTCCAGTGGGATATTTGACTAAACTTAAGTGCTTTGATTGTCTGGTCGCAGTGCGCACGTTTGTGGACGGGATCGGTTCGCGATTTACCGCTCTCGAACAACCGAAAGTTAATCCTCGTGAGTCACGCTGGCCATTGCTTTCAGTCCATTTTAAGACTCTTTCATTCTGCCCCATAGTATGCATTCCTTTCCCTATTTGATGTAGACTGCGAATGCCGAATAAAAGGAACACTTCACAGCTGAACAGGAGTTAGCTATTAGAATTCACTCAGCAATGGATTGTTCTGCCACAGTTCGGATTGCGATCATCATTCCAAGTCCTAAAGCTTAGTATTCTGGAAACATGAAGTTTGCAATTGGACTACATTGAGGTTACACTGAGTTATACACTAAATAAATCCATCCCCCCCCCCCAAATGAATACGTTGACGGACAGCTCGAATGATGTTTTTCGGACAGCAGAACACCAACCAAAAACTTGCTCCGATAGAAGTGTAGGCCTGATTCATTTATAGTCGTGCTTCGTGTAAACATGTTGTCGCTTGTTGTGTCTTTTTGTAAGCAATCTGCAACAAACCAGTCTGTACAACCCAAGTGTGTCACATTTTGACTCCAGATCCAAATCCCATTGAATTTCGTGTATACTGATTACCGATGAGGAGGGAACAGCCGAGGGTAGTTACTGTGCTGCCTGGTAATCAGCTTGTTTACAACAAAAGACTCATTCTCGTGTTTACAAGGTGTGTGCCGGAATATTCGTGTCACAACAATACCGTGAGACCCAATAAGAAGTAACAAACGTGAAAGAGGGATAAGCTAAGTAATATATGTATCACGTGTTGGTTCTTATTGCAAATAATTATCTTAGATTGGGTGTGAGTAACAACTAAATAAATGAAATCGAAACATTGTACCAAAATGGCCTTATTCCAACGGCTAACTGAGGTTGCGGTTTATTTCACTGAAGCCGAACAAAACGGTCAGCTTACAAACTAATTGGTTAGTTCCGAATTCCTCTGTAATTTTAGTGTGACAAAAGTTGCAAATATCATACGGGGTTGGTATGATATGCTGTCCGAGCTGATACGGCGTAGAGACGCAACGGAGTCAGAGGTGAGTGCAATCGGGCGCCACCTTGGATACTGATAATCTCACAAAAGGTTTCCCTAACATGAACACTCTGTTTAGTGCAAAATAATCAATACGTATGGCTTATTTTAAGCCATAAACACCAATTTTGGTCTTCCACTAAAATTATGATAATTAACTGTAATTATTCAAATACTGGAAAACTATTTATCGTTTGAATGTAATACCAGTATATTATTTATTACAATTGAAATTCTTCAGTTGTTTTAGTTGAATCACTCTGTAAATCTTTTTCATCGGAATATAACTTTTATTCATATTATTGTCTAAGATGTGATATTAGTACGTTTTTCAATATCTTGATAATAGGTTATTTGCTTCATGTGTATCACCCACNNNGAGCATTATTAATCGAGACTTCTCAGATTATGAGTTTCGATTCAACAACCTGGACCTAAGCACAGAAGTCGTCCAAACACTTTCAGGGCCAACTGGAGATGAACCCTTATATCTGGACTCGTGCTCATTTTACGAAGTCAGATTGATTGAAAGGTCCACGCAAAAGCTCATGAAACAAATCAATTTGATCAGTAGTNGTGAGTCTGTGCTTCTCCATATTCCCTAACTATGTTCGTGTTCTTGTGCATAAAGATCTGCAGTCCCCTTGAGGAACCTTTTTAACTTGCAAAAGCAATATTCAGAAACTGACTACTCGATTGAATGTCAGTAGTTGCATTAGGTAGGCCACTCTTCAGTCGTGTGCCATGTCGCATTCTGAAGTATGTGCCCCCTTTTTGACAAATTCGAAAATACCGCATGTCTTATGTCTCTTTTCCATACGTAGATCTTCCTGTTGATCCTCTGCTTGGTAGTTTATCGACGGATGGGGCAAACATTCACTAACCAACATACATCAACGCATTCGCCACGTCGTTTCACGGAAAATAGAGCGCAAATGACACTCCTCATTGATCGAAGAATCCTTGTGGGGAACGCACAGATGTCAGCAAATTGGAAACGTTTTTATTGTGGTGTGATCATTTTCAGTCACCTATCCATCAAAGGGAAGAACAATAAGGAGATTTTATCCATGTTGAATCAACCATGGGAAGTCAGAGCTCTGCAATAAAATAACGTAGCCCTTAATGAGAGTGTTTACGATGTCATACCTAGCCGAACTCATATCATTGTCAATGTCAATAATGGTGCATATCAAGACTGATGACGCATTATTTGACACTATTAGGGAAAATCAAGGAGAATTCCCCAATACGAAGAGCACCATCTTTAAGGAGGCAGTCAACCTGGCATTGGGGCTTATAAAGTTTAGCTCGCGTATATTAGACAGATGTGGCATCTGAATCTAAAGTGTATTTATATATACCACTGGTCTGAGTTCATATTGTGTGCCAAACAAATCGCGGTACCATAATCTTTATAAAAATAAAAGAGTTTGTGATTTCCATGTGGGCTGAATACTGCCAGATTACCCAGGTCAGGGCAGGTGAATTCTCTTGAGAAATCAACAACCGGAGTCTTCGGCGGTATGTGAAAACCGTGGTCCATGGGATGCCGGTGTCCAGTTCGTCGGATCATACCCCTTTCGGACGGGGTCAAACGTCCAAGGTGCCCAAAACACCTCGATGCCCAATCGATCCGGTGACCGTTACCACAACCGGAAAGGTGTGGGTGTGGTTTGTGTACCTCCTCATAGTCGGTCTGGAATCAGGGTATTTGGCCAACTCCACTAGGTGAACTGTCAGTGGTCCAACCCGGTTATAGCCCCGGGTGTCGGCTTTTAATCCTCTCACTTTGGTGGTAAAACACCGCCGAGAGAAGGCAGTGAGAATGGCTTCCTCAGAAGAGGCTGTTTGAGACGATTATTCGTATGGGAGCGTTTCCCGACCATACTGAGGCTTTCCGAGACAATGCTAAATGTAGGTGACATGTGTGGCTAGTTTTGATTTGTAATCAACTTTGACGATACCCCGTGAAACAGCAAACGAATTGCGAGCGAGGTCATCGAAATGAATAACTTGATGCTGACATTTTCAATGTGTATCAGTCAGCCTTGTTATATATGGGCGACTACCAGAAATATTACTAAGTCTCAAAGGATCGATCGTTTCTGGATCGAGGGACTGTAAAAAGAGTGTCTTAACGATTTCGCGGCAGTGTGGCTGAAGAAAAGCTATCACCTTTAATTACTGAAAAATTTCAGAGTACCAGATATTTCGTTGGAACAGATCGTGACGACTTGCTGTACAATAAAAATTCCACTCAAAACGTATGGATGACTACTTCTTCATTCACAAATTTGATTGCCGCGGTCAACCGAAAGATAACTTCTCAATGTCATTATCTCATCGCAGATCCCTAACAATTTTGAATGAACAGTCGTTATGACTAACTCCAATTTGGTGAATAATGGTAAATACAATGGATCACGGCGTTATTTGGCCTGTTAAATGTTAGCTCTGAAAATGATCATTCCAATGACCTTGTTAGAAACCAAGCAACTTAAAATCAAAGCGGATATGCTGGAAGAAATGTATCTGGTCCTGAAAGGCTGTGCATCTGTTTTTCCGTACGTACTGATCAATGATTTCGTGATATCAGAATTTGAACCCCGGTTAAACAGACTGGTAATTTACTCACCTGAAGTTAGATGTGATCCGACTGGAAATTTTACATATTGACGAATGTCTTGGTTGCTTGGTACTTTAGATGCTTATCCTTATGTGTATACGCATATACGTGTATACGCATATGTGTATATGTACAAAGGAATAAAAATCGCATTCTCTCATGTTGAATGGGATAAGATGATGTGTACGGTACTGCAGTGAGTAATTAACAGCATTCTGAAAGTAGACGAAGCAGGTAAAGGGTCAGTTCATCGACAACACTTTAATTCAGGGGCGAAACCCGATTACATGAACGCTTTCTTTTCTGGAGGGTGAATCGCCTCCTGAAATATCTCAAATGGCAGAAGCATAGGGCCATGTTTGATGCAGATAATACGCTTCAATCCATGCATCCCATTCGGACTCCGGAGACTGATAGTGGATAAAAAATTCCATGTGCGACCTCGCCATACTCGCTCGTGTTTTGGGCTTAACCCAGATCTCGTGAAAGTATCACTTGAATGCGATGAAAAATAGCCTCCCTAGCACCCATAGGTCTTATTTTATTTAAAAGTGCAGCCGTGGAATTTGTACCACTAATCGCAGGTTCCAAAGTGACCGCAAGGTGAACCGCTTTTCAGCGCTTTAGTTATCTTCAGCTGGGCCATTCTATCACAATGAGCTTTATCGAGCTTCAAGTGACAGCTGTGATTGTATGTGATTGATTTATTGATTAGCACTGATTCTCATTTTGTGAAACATAAGCATTTTGTGACTAGAGTTTTTGAAGTAGATCAAATCCATCTGATAACCTCAACATTCGTGTGGAACAACGCGATTCATGCACATTAGGGTTATTCTTTGCAATTTGCCCACATCAACCGGATTTTCATTTGCATCTGTGTGTATTCCTCATCAGAGCCACTAGTCACCCATCTAATATCGACTGGACCAAGGGTAATTGAGGTGGGAGCGAACGTTCTGGTCAATGGAAGTTGTTTCCTGAGATATTCACTGAACGGTTACGGATTATTGAAACCACGCATCGCTATGGTCCTCGGTCATCCATTTCCACTGATGGTGAAAGAAGTCTCCGGCCTGGAAGAAGTGAAATTTCAATACAGCCTTATCAACACACCCAAATGTATACCGATTTTTACCACATTTATCCCTGTGGTCCAGGGACAACAAGTTTATGATGCGATTGGAAAACATCAAGAGAATTCTTCAGGTAGGAGAATATCACATTTTACTCGTCTTTTCTCTGAAATGACGAGAAATCCAACAATGTTAAAAGTTTTTCGAAGCGCAACCCATTTCGCCTGGTCTTAATACGTTCTGGATTCCGACTAATCACCCAAACTCCAAAACAATGAACCCAGTCCAGACGCTTTTCTGTACCCCTCATAGACCAGGGAGTTGGGCTATTGTAATTATCAGATTCATTTTATTTTATTCAACTGACATTTGTAGGATCAACTTCGGAGAACAGGCCCGGTGTAAAATGAGGTGTAAGTGTAAATGACGAATTCATGAAAATGGATGGTGATAGTGTAATACGAATGCAAAATCATTGAACCGTTACAACATTGATCGGTATCGCTTGGCTACTCCATTTCACTCCACCTCACTCTAGCTTGGATCGCTCATGGAAAACACAGTTTGATTCAACTTCCCGAATATGCCCATTATTACATGAAAACACATGTTCAGAGATGAATAATACTTTTCGTTGATTCATCTTCTAGTCCGTACAAATTATATACGGAAATGGTATGTTGAACGAGAGAGGACATTCGGTTATTCAAAAGTTTCAGTGATTGGTTGAAAGGAAGAGGGGTGTGGAATGAGTGGTGCGACATGTTTCACAACACTAGGGCACCACAAAACTGCAATCAGGTGTAGGTTCACTCAGCTGTCATTGGAATATTCCACGGTCGTCTGTCTTATGTTAGAAACCAAAGAAGGAGGGGTTGTGTGAGCTACCTCATATACCATGGTGGTTACCTCCGAATTATTTATATTTTTAGTAGTAAATCAGAGATTTTGATTTGAATTCATGAAAATAAGAGTATTCAGGAGGCTGAAATTCGTGGATTTAAGCATATATACAAACAATTCAGTGATATCTTCTCTGTTATCTCTTCTACTGAAGGTACTCCTTGATCATGTTTTTGCGAAGTCCTTTGCTTACAACTTGAGGTCTGATGAATACTTTGTGTATACAAACTCATTCCTTCAGTTTATGTAGCATTCTGATTGTTGTTGCCAGGAAGTAAACATGGAGGTCATACCTAAAAGACACTCACTCCGTGGAGGACGGTAAGGCGTAGATATTATTGGAAATACCTTCAGTAAAATGTCCACCACCACCAGTGTATTCATACACTCATAATGATCATTTTAGTTATCAAAGTTGTAACATTCAAGCAAAATACATACATACATACATGCATACATACATACATACATAAAAACGAAGGCGGAGAAATGTACATAGACGCTGATCCATATATGATTGTTATTTTCATACACTCACTTTTAAAAATCCTCCTTATTCCAGAGGCAATCGGGGCCTCAAATATCGAGCACCGAATACACGCGGGTATTGTTTACGTGAAATGGAAGAATGAAGCTCTGTGTCCAATCATTTCCTATGAGGTCAAGGTCTTTCGAAAAGAAAATGTGATAACTACAATTCCCACGAATGACACATTTGTCACCATAGAAGGACTACCGACCTGTGTGGAATATCGCTTTGAAGTGTTGAGTTTCTTTGCCGTGAGCAAGTCGGTGGAAGTTGATGGAGGCTCATTTATTGGTGAGTATTTTCTCGTGTACATTTCGACTGGCACGTTTTTGAGTTCGATTTAAACAAGGGTTTTCACAGATTTCACAACCATACCATTCACTCACATTGACTCTTAGCAGACGTTCGATTGTGCTTGGTCGTACATGAGCTGCTTATTCCAAATCATTATGCCGCATTCTGAGCATGAAATCAAGTGTGTTTATAAAAAACGGAGAAATATAAACATTTATAACGCTTGAAATCATCTAAGTTGGTCGAGAGCCATTGATGACGCTTTGACATAATATGCCAAAACCTGACCGTTTTCCTGAACGGCAGTTGTCAAATCCCTCTAATTTATAGCACCTGAAATTAAACAAGTTCTAAAGACAGGCTACATNCTTTAAAATTGGCAATCATATTTGAGGTTTTTAACAGTAGATTGTCCGTAGTCTACATCAATTGCCAGAATACCGCTGGAAACACAAAACTTAAAGATTGGTCTCTAGGATAATGATGGAAACTCGCTTCATACATTCCAGGGGAAATATTCCCACGCAGACTGGTATTGCTGAAAGAAAGAAATTACCTTTAAAACTGAAACGAATGTTTCATAAGATTTTTAGACAGTCATTGGCCTGAAACCTTCTGATACGAAAAATATCCCTTTAACTTTCATTCAACGTCCCCGCTTTTGAGGTGACGTCAACCCGTAGGAATTAAGGTTGAATTTACAAGTAAACTCACAACTACTTGTGGGTAGTAGCAAGAGTGAAGGGAAATTATGGGTTCATTTGATAGCTCTGGTCCGCTGCATGGTGAGCTGCGTGGTTCAACACAATGCACACATTTTTATCGACACTTGTTAAAGCCTTGGATAGGTTTTATGAATGCAATCAACCGATTAACTATAATAAGTAAAGAATTTAGGTATAGTGTGTTGCATAAACTAAGGATTGTGTGCGGGGTTTTAATCGGAAAGATGGCCAATCAAAATCGTTCATTTTTCCTCATTCACTAAAACCGGTTTTCAAATTCCTCGTTTCATGAAAAACTTAATTTGTCGAGGGATTTCAACCAGGAAAAAATATTAGCTCTTGATACGCTCGATCTACATTTGTAATGGGTGAAAACATAGTTCGAGTGTAGTTGATCATTTACGTGTGAAGACGAAACTCTTGACACTATTACATCTCTGTTCTACACATGCCTGATTATGCACTCTTCATTCCGGATTTTCTGACAGTGCCTTTTCAACCGGAAACAGAACTAAAAACGAAATTACCAAGTAATCTGGAGTACAATATTTTAAATCGTGAACGGTGTGATATACTGAACTACAACATTACAATCGAGCTACCCGACGGTAAAACACAAACGCATGTGGTTCATAACCCGGACGGATCAGTTCCAGTAACGGAGGGGTGTGAACAGTGCACCATTCATGTCACAGCCTTGAACGAGCATGGATCCGGACCGCCTTATATAAGTCAACCAATGCGATTGCAAACCGGTGAGAAGCCTACACAGGTTGACCACAATACTAAATTTTCCATGTCCTCCCAGTTTATATATTTTATCTACTATTAGCCAGTGGTTAAGTAACTTCCGCTAAAGAACGTCAATATTTTCATTACAAAATTATCAATCCGTTTGATGAGCTTGATCATTCGAGCCCGGGAAATTATTGATTGAAAAATTTGGACAAATATCACCATCCATTCTGTAGAGAGCAACGAACCTGACAAAGCCAATAAAGCCAGAGCAAAAATTCCTGTGATTATTACTCATTGTGTGGCATTCATATAGTTTTGACGTTTTCCGTAATTCACATAGATATTTATGGCTTTGCTAATCAGTACATAAAGGGGAAATTCACAAAACACTTCAAATAAGTACTCTCGTTCCATTGTGTATTCCGATAAATGAGATATATGTGGGGGAACTGCCCCAAGATCGAGCTCCGTTCTACAGCTGTGACTAAATATCAAGAAACGGTAGTTTTCCTTACATTCAACACCATTTAATTCAGGTTGTGGAACAAACCGCAACATAAATTGTTAAATCCAGTTGTCAGAAAGATATCAGCAGGAAAGACACTCCGTTGGGTGGCGACGAACGAAATGAACCGCGACAAAAGTAGCCAACTCGAAATGAAAACATAAAACCCCACAAAATGAAAAAAAAAATGTGAAACGTGTGAAAACTATAAAGTGGAGAGTGAAAGGAATTAGGATAAACGAAAGAATAAACGAGCAAAATAAAACAAACATAAGTAGAACTCTAAACGAAACACCCTAATATTCATTGGATATATTAAACCTTTACAAAACAAGACCAAACGAAAAAAATACACCGATAATACAGAGCATGAAATTCAGAAGTAATTGCAAAAATACAAAAGCCCCAGTTCACAGGATAAGGAAAAAAACCTAACACACTTAGCAACGCTAGTGAAAATACCAAACACCATTTCATTTTCCAACTAACGAGAGTTCCGATACCTTATAACCTAACATACAGCAGTAACTCTGAACGCCGTACGCACGGATAACGTGATCACAGTGGACTGGAATTTACCGCATACG